TCCCTGAGGCTCAAACTACTTACAGTGACAGCCCTAAGGGAGATTACTCTCTCCTAGGATTTTACCTACCTAGTCATTTCACAGATGGTAAAGCCCAGTCCCAAGTGGGGAAGCCTGGGATCCCACAGCAGCTTGTGGCAAAGCTGGAACTAGAACCTGGGCATGTCCTCCTAGTTCTTTGTCTCTTATTATCTCACACCATCTCTATCAGTTCTTCCTGTAGCACTGCAAATTTAACTTCATTCATGATAATATATGTGTAATTATCATTAAAATGATTATAGTAACATTAATGGAAATCTATCCACACATACTTATAATTCTGATATTGCAGGGTTTTTTTCTCTGCCAACAGGCTGCATTACTGATATTGCAGTTGTTTTTCTTTTATATTTTCCTTTCAGTATAGTATTTGACATTGTTTTTTCCCAAAAGCTTTCTTACATGTTGCTATACAGTCTTTAACTTTCAAAAGTTAGCCTTTTTGAAAACTGACATTGCTCTCTTTTTATCTAAACTTTGTCCCTCCCAAACCTGTTTTTGCTTCACTTATAGCTTATCTAAATCATTATTTTTTGAAGTTAAAAATCATTTTTTCTTAACTCTGAAACACACAATGTCGAAAGTAAACATCACCTGCACTCCCATCCCACAGAGATTTTGATAATTAACAGTTTAGTACATGTGACTCTAGATATTTTCCTTTTCAGCATATCGTAGCCACCCTTTCCTTTCTGTCCCCACTCAAGCTGCTGTCATGTGCTCTCTCCTGACACCACGCATTGCGGTATTTTGCCAGCCTACCCCATCTTGGGCCTAGCCCATGCATAATACAGTGGTTTGGATTTCCAAACTTAGCAATCCACACTCCATCACACATCCTTAAGCCTGATTTTCAAGGTTTTCGTCGCCTAACCCTCCTAATCTTTTATTAAACCCCACCTGAGACCAGGCGCGGTGGCTCATGCCTGTAGTCCCAGCACTTTGGGAAGCTGAGGCAGGAGTTTTGCCTAAGGCCAGGAGTTCAAAACCAGCTTGGCCAACGTGATGAAACCCCGTCTCTACTAAAAATACAAAAATTAGCTGGGCTTGGTGGCGCATACCTGTAGTCCCAGCTACTTGGAAGGCTGAGGTAGGAGAATCACCTGAACCCGGGAGATGGAGGTTGCAGTGAGCCGTGATCGCGCCATTGCACTCCAGCCTTGGCGACAGAGTGAGACCCTGTTTCAAAAAGAAATAATGATTAGCTGGGCATGGTGGCGCGTGCCTGTAATCCCAGCTACTCAGGAGGCTGAGGCAGGAGAATTGCCTGAACCCAGGAGGCGGAGGTTGCGGTGAGCCAAGATCGCGCCATTGCACTCCAGCCTGGGAAACAAGAGCGAAACTCCGTCTCAAAAAAAAAAAAAAAATGACAAAAAAATAATAATACATCCCACCTGAGTCTTTCTACTGTACTCAGCTTTCTGGTCAACCTCACCAAGAGGACTCATCTGTCTAGAGTGTCTTTTGTTGCATTCAGTGAATTACAGATAGCAGATTATCATTTCTACCAAAGGACTGTTTTGAGATTGAGCTGTGTATATTATTGATGGTGATATTTGTGCATATAGCACATTCGCTTTCAGCAGCTCAGGCTAATTAAATGTGATAGACGCTTTTTGAATGAGGTTATTCAGTTACAGTTCTGTTGTTATTCTTGGTGTATTGTGCAATGTGAAACATTCTTAAAATGCATTCTTTATAAGAACAGTAACCATTGTTTTTAGAGCATCTACAGTGTGCTGAGTGCTTTTCATGCATTTACAGCAACACTCAGCAGGTACTACTATCATCTCTTGCAAAGAGAGGCTCACAGAGCCTTAGTATCTTGCCCCTGGTTGCACAGCTAATGAGTGGCTAAACCAGGGCTCAACCAGATGTGCTTGACCCTGGAGAATATGATGAAGCAGCATGATATTTAACCTTATTTTTCTTTTTCTATTTTAAAGGAATATCAGAAGCTCTTTCCTGACATTCCCATAGGGTATTCTGGGCATGAAACAGGCATAGCGATATCTGTGGCCGCAGTGGCTTTGGGGGCCAAGGTGTTAGAGCGTCACATAACTTTGGACAAGACCTGGAAGGGGAGTGACCATTCAGCCTCGCTGGAGCCTGGAGAACTGGCGGAGCTGGTACGGTCAGTGCGCCTTGTGGAACGTGCCCTAGGCTCCCCAACCAAGCAGCTGCTGCCCTGTGAGATGGCCTGCAATGAGAAGGTGCGTCCTGCCCGACTCCACTCACCTCTGCTGCTGTGAGCAGAAACAGGATAGAATGAACTGGGAGGGATGGTCAGGACCAGCCCTCCCTGAGCCAGGCTAATGAAATGATGAAGGAATGTACCCCTACCCCTGTCAGCTTCTTCAGGGTCCTCTTCAGTAATGCATGTCCCTCCTGCTGGTAGCAGCAGCAGGAGAAATGTGTTATCTAAAGGAAACTTTAGCAGTTTCTCTCGCCAGCTAGGATCACATTAGAGTCTTCCACTAATTCTCTGAAGCCCATGACCCAGTACTTCTAGACTCCAGAATATGTAATGGGGTGAGGCCCTGGAATAAGTCAACTCTGGGCTCCCTTGGAGCAGGTAAGCCCTGAGAAGCATTTAGGCGAGGTGTCCCCTGAGGTACCAGAAGAGCCTATGGCATTCCCTAAGCCAGGGTGGCACTGGCTGGAGGGGCAGCGGGTCGTTGCAGGGGTGGGTGGGTGATGATGCAGCTATTCCTTGTGCAGCACTGACCTTCAGACAGGGATGGTGGGCCTAGAAGCACTGCCTGGCATGCTGACTATCAGGGCTTCTGAAAGCCATGGCCTGGACCTTCTTGCCTCTGAGTCATAGAGCCAGGCAGGCATCTGGGGGCTGCAGGCATGCACACACCTAACCTCTACAGCTGTCAGGGTCAAGGCAAAGACCAACACCAGGCATGCCTGGGACTGTGCTCATCTTTTATTCTAGTGGGGCCCCCCTGCTTCCCCAAATCAAAGATGCATATGTACCAGGAAATTAGTAGTAAAAAAGAAAGTTTCTTTATGGAGAAAACAAGAGAGAATTAGGCCAGAAACCAGAGTAAGATTTATAACTGCTAAGCACTTAATTTGGCTCCCTGAGGACATAACAGGATGCAAGATTATCACTTGACAGACATTTTTTCCTGGCACTACATTCCAAGCAGAATTGATTCCTTGCGCTCTTATGTGGAGGATATAGAGTAATAGAACAGATAATTTATTTGAAGGCATTTATGGAGAAGACAAGCACTGGTGGTGAGCTTCAGGTACCCTTCATTCCCTCACCTGCCTGTCCAATCTGCTGCTTCCTCGGGGGCCCCTTCCTATCTGCCCCTTCCTCAGGGGCTCCTTTTCTTGCCATGAGATATTGAGCTGCATGGTGACATAAGGAATCAGAGTTTGCATGTAGTGAGAGCATTCTGCGTTCCCGGTACATTCTGTAATATCACCAATCCTTACAGTCATCTGACAGGATAGTTTGTTTGACAGAAACTAAAACATGGCCTATACCCTGCTAACTGGGATTTGAATCTGGCTCTGCCTACATAGCCTGAGCTCTTTCCTTTGCACTTTACTGTAAAGGCCCCTCCTCTGTGTCTCTGAATGTATGAGATTCTGAGCAGTGTAGGGGTCAACAAGAGTCCCTGCTCCCAAGGTACTGCCTTGGTACTGATTAGGGACCTAGAGTGTACATAGGGTACACTAGTTAGTTCTGTGAAGCTGGCACTGAATGTTCATTTTGTCCACAGCTGGGCAAGTCTGTGGTGGCCAAAGTGAAAATTCCGGAAGGCACCATTCTAACAATGGACATGCTCACCGTGAAAGTAGGTGAGCCCAAAGGCTATCCTCCCGAAGACATCTTTAATCTAGTGGGCAAGAAGGTCCTGGTCACTATTGAAGAAGATGACACCATCATGGAAGAAATGGTAGATAATCATGGCAAAAAAATCAAGTCTTAAAATAAAGTGCCATTCTCAGTTCCCTTGCTGTCGGGTGTTTCTTGAGTGAGGCAGGGGCAGGAATGGTGGTCCCCAGGGACCTGGCCATCATCCACCTCTACCCGCTCCTTAGACAGCAGACATTTCTGGGCTAGGCCCTGTGTCAGCCCACTGGAGAGAGAAAAAGATCCAGTGAAACAGTCTCTGCTTCAAGTTGGCCAGCCTGGAGCAGGAGGTGGCTCCAAAGCAGTCCGTATCCTCCAGTTGCTGGCTGGCTGCAGAGAGGGGCAAGAGCTAGCTGCACAGGTCCTCTAGTGTAGTAAGCCTTCATTCTGATTGCTTACAGCCCTTTACTTCTCCATTACCTTTATTCCTTTCCCACCCTTGGCCTCTGTGTTTAGTTAGCATCATATAGCAGTCACTCCACATCACAGAAAGGATTGGTCACAGGATCTTGTAGGCAGAAAAATGCTGAAGGCACTCCTCTTGGAGCAGAGGGAAATGGCACGTGTTCCTTCTCTGAACAAATATGGAGGGCCTTCTGTGTGCCAGACACTGCTTTAGGCACAGAGGATATGGCCACTAACAGCCCCAATTCCTTCCTCAGGGAACTTCCATTGAGATGGGGGCGGATGCACAAAAATCCACAGTACAGTGAGTCAGTCACACAATTTGTTAGAAGGTGACATGTGAGCCAGGCATGCTGGTATGGGCTTGTAGTCCCAACTACTTAAGAGGCTGGGGCGGGAGGATCGCTTGAGACCAGGAGTTCAAGGTTGCAGTGAGCTATAATACTGTCTTGGATGGGAACAGCTGGGAGTCAGGGTTTGTTTACACATTAGTGAGAACTTTAGTGAGTTATTGTCAGAAGCGTGAATGCTCCATCCCTAGAGACAATTAATCAGGGAGCAGCTGACTATCACCAGGAGGCTGTGGAAGCAATAGGATATGAGTGAGGGGCTGTCCAGGTCTGGGCGCCAGGCACTTGAAGCAACATGAACTCCTAATAAAGACCATAGTTAGAAGGGACATTATTCACATTTTATTAAACCAAATATTAGAGAATTGCTGTCATTTAAAGATAACTGCAAGCAATTTGACATATCAATAAAGAAATGTCTACAAGTCTCAAAGAGAATAAGGTAAGTGATTAGTACTCTGAAAGACATGGAAACCAAGGAAGCCTCATTCCTGTGCTGAGAATATTTAGTAGCTCCTGCTCCTGCCACATGGCAGCTGAGAATACCAGTAGTCTTGGCACTGTCAGTATAATGCGAGCTCCCTTGGGAATGCTGATAAAAATGATACAGCACTATAGTTTTTAAGGCAAGTCAATAACCTTTGGCTCATTTGAGCCTCACAACACTGGTAGTCAGTGCCATTATCCCCATTTTATAGATGGCACAGAGAAGTAAAACGTGACTAGTCCTGGTCACACAGTTGATTAGGGACTAAAACTGCAGCTTTCTGGCTAGCATGGGTCTTGATATAGCCAGTCTGTGACCTTTATAGCCTAGCTCTGTCTGTGCTACATGAATCTCAAACTTAAGTTCCCCTCTGGGCATAAGGCCTCATCTCAGACCCCAAGGAAGGTAATCCAAAGGTAGACTCAAGTCTCGCAGACTAACCAGGCAAAAGGAAAGCATCATGGGCAGTAGCTCCATGAGAGAGGCCAGAGCACCAGGCACTGGCCAGAGACCAGCTGCACTCACCCTGAGCAGTAGCGCCTTGTGGTGGCCATGAGCACAAACCTGGAACTCAATGGCCTGGACCCAGACCCCAGCTCCACCACTAGCTGTGTGACCCTTGGGCAAGTGACTCTGGGTCTCCATTTTGCCATGTGTAGAATTGGGATAACTTTCTACTCCCTAGGGATAATGAAAGGATCAGATGAGTTTTGTTGTAAAGCGTTAGAACAGTGCCTTACAAACTAGTAAGAGCTGTTATTACTTGGCCCCTGCAGCTGTGGGTCTGGGAAGAGGTCTTGGTCATCAGGGATGGACAGAGATGTGGGAGTCAAGTGTATTCATGTTCCCTCTGTCAGGAATGTCCTCTGCCTGTCACAATTCAGTGTGAGCCATTCCTAGTAGAATTAATTTCCCTTTTTCTCATTATTCCTGCAGCATAGTGCTTTAAGATTGTTCAACCAGAGTTTTAAAGTCTTTGGTTAGAAGTTAAGGCATTTGCGAGGTTTTGTCTGTCTGGTATTATTCTGCTACACTGCCCCATATCAAAGTGCCATTTTAAATTCAAAAACTGTTGAAAATTGTCAGTTTTATATGGTTCAAACTATACCACAAGGATTTGGCTTTGCCTTCCTACCAAGCACCTACGAAGATGCTTTAACAGAATGTTAACTTGAAAACCATCTAGGGAATTGACAAAACAGGATGCAGAACCTTCAGAATGGAGACACAGGCCCTGGGAAGAGGCCTCCCCCTCCCTGCTAGAGGAGCAGGCCTCCGTGTGAGGGCCTACTGTTCTCTATTTCTGTCACTTCATTCCAGACAGCTGGGCGCTCTGGTTTCCTTGGCAACATCTGGATTTAAGGCGCTCTTCCCCTTTCTGTCCCAAGACAGTTGGGAAACACCACCCCCTTTGGTTGCTTAGCAACGGTCACCTGCTGATTCCTTTCCGGCATCTCCTGAGAAACAAATAAAATCTCCCAGGTTGAAAGCTGGGCCTAAGGGCTGGGCCAGGGGACAGGTCAGTTGCTTGCCTGGGGGTGGGTGGATGGCGCGCAGGCCTGGCCTCCCTACAGCACCACGGGGTAACTTTATGCAGTTCTGCTTTCTTTTAGGACCTCAGACTCCCCAAATCTACAACGAGAACTGGCTGGGTGACCTGTGAGGCCCTCCCAGCTCAGCTGTTCTGTGACTCAGTAATAGGCACCTGCTGGTTGTTATTCACTGCTTGGGAGGGAAGGGGGCTTTCTGAACTTTTCAGGGTGGAGAGAGTATAGGACAAAGCTAATCTTCCAAAGCTTCCAATCTACTTGGAAAGATAGGTACCAGGTGGCTCTGATAGTGAGATTCTGGTGGTTTGGGGAGACTTCCTGGCACAGATAAGCCTGGCGAAGACTGAGACAGGTGAAGACTTTTCCTGCATGAATGCTGGCAGTAGAGAGGTGTGGAGGTGGAGCTACGCGACACATTTCTGACTGGAGAGCCTCTAAGAACAGTGGTAGGAGCTAGGTGAGGATAAGTAATTTTGAGCAGACTAGACAGGCCTTAAATGCTAAGGTGAGGTGCTTGAATTTTTTTGTTTTTCCATGGAAACTCCTGAAAGCCTCTTCGTAGTTCTGACAAGTTAAGTGAAATTTTAGGAAGAGCACCCTGGTTTTAGGGTGAAGATGAGGACTGGGAGAGGGTTCAGACCAGGAACTGCTAAGAAGCTCTCACAGCTGTTCTGGAGAAAGGTGTGATGTGGACAAGATGAAATAGGTGAGGAGGAGCGGTAGATCCAAGAGACCTCAAGGGACAGAAGAGTCGGTGCTGGATGACTCATTCATTCACAGATATTTACTGTGTGCCTACTATGTGCCAGGTTCCTGTGCTGTACAAGGGAGAAAGTTCCCAGGTGGTGGATGATGTGTTCCGGATGCTGAGGGCTTATCTGTGGGTATGTCACTTTGAAGGAGGTGGACTACAGCAGAGTAAGTGATGGTGGGGGTGGGGGTGCGGAGGTCTGATGAGAGGGCAGCAGCGGACTTGTTTGGGGCATGTTTCAAACTAGCCTAGGAGAGGATCCCTTCAAAGCACTGTGGGTGTGACCGGTTGGGGAGGGCTGGGGCAGGGAGAGGGCCCTGAGAAGTAGGCAGTAAGGGGACCAGCCACGCTGATCTAGGTACAGACCTGGAGGCTGTCACGCTGGTCCTGGCCCCTAGGGCAGCCGCGGGATGCTGATGGCCCCCTCCCAGAGACGCAGGGCCGGGTAGAGCGGCTCCTGGAAGGTAGCGCGGAAGGTGTGCAGGTGGCTCATGCCACCCGTCACGTCGTAGAAGGCAAGGACGCCGGCCTCGTAGTCCAGGAAGACGCCGAGCCGGTCGAGGTCTTCGCGGGGCCGCAGGCGGCTGCGCTGGCCGTCGTGGAAGGCCCAGTACTCAAGGTCGTAGCGCTTGAGGCACCAGGACTGGCGGTTGCAGCCCAGGCGGGCGGCGGCCGAGGCGCCGCTGCGCCGCAGGGAGGCGTAGGCCGCGCCCACCCACCAGCCGACGCCAGCCTCCTGCACGTCCACCTCCCAGTAGTGGCGGCCAGCGGCGAAGCCGTCGCGAGCCAGCACCTGCCAGAGCGCGTCGAACCGCAGCGCGGGCACGGGCCCCAGGCTGCCCAGCAGGCCGCAGCGCACGGTCAGGCGGTCTGCAGACAGGCGCAGGCGCGCGTGCATCGTGTCCAGATCCAGCGTGGGCGTGCGCGCGTCTGCAGGGGGCGGAACACGGGATGCGCCTGAGGAGCCGGGCCAGCGCGGCGGCCGGTCCCCGGGAATCCACCCATGCACGTGCAAAGCACAAAATGAGAAGCGCGAAAATGGCCTAAGGAGGGAGTGATAGACCCCTTTTAACCCCGATTGTCCCTGGAGCAGGGGCTGGAGGAATGGGGAAGCAGTGATCACCCTACTGCACACCCTTTATACTGTCTGAATTTTGTGCCGTGAAATTTGTTGCCAACTAATACAAATGTAATTAAAAATAATCCCATCGCTGTTAACACTAGGGTGTGTTACTTCCTATCTCCGCCCCCCCTCCCCCCCCGTTCTTTATAGCTTTAAGATTGGTGTCACACCATACATGCCGTTAGGTAATCTGCTTTTTAAAATTGATTGATCTACTACGGAGCATTTTGCCACATCAAATAATAGTCACTCACAAGAGCATTTTAGTGGAGATTCTATGATTTTGATGTTTGGACACGTAACTTAGTCCTCTACTTTTTTTTTTTTTTTTTTTTTGGAGTATTTAGTGTGTTTAAAAAGCTTTTGAAACCACCAATACAATTACATTTCTTTTCTTTGAGACGGAGTTTTGTTCCTGTTGCCCAGGCTGGAGTGCAATGGCACGATCTTGGCTCACTGCAACTTCCACCTCCCAGGTTCAAACGATTCTCCTGCCTCAGCCTCCCAAGTAGCTGGGATTGCCAGGTGCTGACCACTATGCCAAGCTATTTTTTGTATTTTTAGTAGACTAGGGGGTGGGGAGGAGGTTCACCATGTTGGCCAGGCTGGTCTCAAACTGCTGACCTCAGGTGATCCGCCCTCCTCGGCCCTCCAAAGAGCTAGGATTACAGGTGTGAGCCACCATGCCCGCCCCTACATAGCTCTTTAGAAATGCAATTATAACCATTACCTTCCCTTCACCAGATAATCCCCTACAGGGCAAGCTTATCTAACTGCCTGCTTAAAAGGAACCAGAACTTTGCCTCTAGAGACAACAGTAAGTTTACCAGCTAAAGTATGCCTGCTTCAGAACTCTTACACCTGTAGAATATCTCAACACAATGGCCACAGTACAACCTAGTTCTGTTGTCAATGGCATCAGCTCACCCACCTGGTAGATGAGGCACCAAAATGAGTCACATAGACCCCCATCTGCTTGCTCCTCCCCTGCATGCCCTTCACACAAAGTCCCCATTTAAAAGCCTCTGCTTTCTGCCCCAAAAGTGAGGTGGTACCCTTAAGGGCAGGAGGGGCCTGTACCTCTTCCCCTAAGCTAAGTTTTGAAAAAGACCACTTTATTTATGCCAGACCTCGCTTTTGTTAATTGGACTCTGCAAAGCGTTGAGTGATTGAACCTGCGTTTCAGTCACATAACATTCTTGTGCAGGTCTTTTGATTCATATATGTATGCATTTCTGTTGGATATTTATCCAACGTGGGAGAAAATGCTGCTCATTATAACCACTTCTGTTGAACACTGTTCTAGATGTAGTAGACAGTAACTCAAGGCACGAAAAAGAAGTGAAAGGCAAGAATAAGGATTGAGGAAATGAAAGATTATTATTCACAGGTGACATGCTTATTTACAGAAAATCCCAAAAAATCTGTGGATAGCTTAGAAGTGCTAAGTGAATTTACAACAACCACTCAGGCCAGGAGCAGCGGCTTACACCGTAATCCCAGCAATTTGGGAGGCCGAGGCGGGCAGATCACAAGCTCAAGAGATCGAGACCATCCTGGCCAACACGGTGAAACCTTGTCTCTACTAAAAATACAAAAATTAGCTGGGCGTGGTGGCACACGCCTGTAGTCCCAGCTACTTAGGAGGCTGAGGCAGGAGAATGCTTGAACATGGGAGGCAGAGGTTGCAGTGAGCCAGGATCAGGCCACTGCACTCCAGCCTGGCGACAGAGCAAGACTCTGTCTCAAAAAAAAAAAAAAAACACTCTATATGTCAGTATACAAAATGGATAAATCTCATATTATGTTGAGCGAAAGAAGCAAAACAGAAGGGTACAATCTGAATGATCTACTAAAAGTTCAAAAACAGGTAAAACTAACCTATAGTCCTAGAAGTCTGGAGAGTGGATTCCCTCTGGGGATAGTAAACAAGAGGGCACATGAGGAAGACTTCTGGGGAGTGAAAATTTCCATTTCTTGATCTGAAAGTCATTACAAAATATATTTCTTCTTTAAAAAAATCATTGATTTGTACACTTTTTTTTTTTTTTTGAGACAAAGTCTCAATGTCACCCAGGCTGGAGGGCCATGGCATAATCTCAGCTCACTGCAACCTTGGCCTCCCTGGTTCAAGCAATTCTCCTGCTTCAGCTTCCCACGTAGCTGGGACTACAGCACATGCTGCCACACCCTGCTAATTTTTTGTATTTCAGTAGAGACAGGCTTTCACAGTGTTGCCAAAGCTGGTCTCGAACTCCTGAGCTCAGGCAAGCCTTCGCCTCCCAAAGTGCTAGGATTATAGGCATGAGTCACTACGCCCCGCCTTGTGTGCTTTTCCTTATGCGTTTTATATTTCAACTAAAGTTTACTTTAAAAATGCATGCCGGGCCCGGTGGCTCACGCCTGTAATCCCAGCACTTTGGGAGGCCAAGGCAGGTGTATCACCTGAGGTCAGGAGTTCAAGACCAGCCTGGCCAACATGGTGAAACCCTGTCTCTACTAAAAACACACAAAAAAATTAGCTGGGTGTGGTGCTGGGCGCCTGTAATCCCAGCTACTTGGGAGGCTGAGGCAGGAGAATCACTCGAACCCAGGAAGTGGAGGTTGCAATGAGCGGAGATCGCACCATTGCACTCCAGCCTGGGCGACAGAGCCAGACTCCATCTCAAAAAAAAAAAAAAAATTCATGTCCAGTGTAAAAAGAAAATAAAATTTCAGGACTTTCCAAATTTATTATGCCAAGTGGAAAAAGTTAAGCCCTGGAAACTGAGTCACATAATGTGGCTGTTTTTCTTCTCTGGTGCATGACCATTACTTCCTGACTTTTGTGTTGAGATGTTATACATTAACCAGATTCCCTATTCTTCATTCAAACGTATACTAAATGACGTTGGAGAGATAGAGACCCTTTTGATTGTTAACTATTTTCACTAGGATGTTTACTCCTTAGGTGTAATCAATAGTAGCCAATCAAATCTTAAATCAATATTTCTTTTTTTTTTTTTTTTTTGCAACGGAGTCTCACTCTGTCACCCAGGCTGGAGTGCAATGGCACGATCTTGGTTCACTGCAACCTCCACCTCCCAGGTTCAAGTGATTCTCCTGCATCAGCCTCCTGAGTAGCTGGGACTACAGGTGCCTGCTACCATGCCAGGCTAATTTTTGTATTTTTAGTAGAGGCAGGGTTTCACCATGTTGGCCAGGCTGGTCTTGAACTCCTGATGTCAGTCAAGTGACCCAACTGCCTCAGCCTCCCAAAGTGTTGGAATTACAGGCATCAGCCACCATGCCCAGCCTTTAAATCAGTAGATTAGCCTTTGTATGGAAAATGTAATTCTATTCAGTGCCTCCATTTTGATATTCACTGCCCCCTTCCCAACACCAGGAACACTGACCACCATTCTTTGGTTTGCCTATGTCCCCTGATGGTTACTTTGCATTGGAATAAACTCTGCTAACTGGATACTGAGCCTACTTTAGGTTAAGTCTTCTTTAAATTGATACCCAGTAATTCCACTTTCAGAAATTACTCCTAAAAAATAATCTGAAAATGAGGTATGGTGTGTTCATTCACTCATTCATTAATTCAACAAATGTGTACAAGAATGGATGTTTATTACAGCATTGTTTATAGAAATGAAAATGTAAACATCCAACATTATGAAATTGGTTAGATATGACACATCCATTCAATGCAATAAAAATTAAAAATTAGCTAAGCGTGGTGGTGCATGCCAATAGCCCCAGCTATGCGGAGGTTGGGGTGGGAAAATCACTTGAGACCAAGAGGTCGAGAGTGCAGTGAGCACTGCACCACTGAACTCCACCACTGCAATCCAGAGCAAGACACACCACACACACACACACACACACACACACACACACACACACAATACTGGCTGGGCACAGTGGCTCATGCCTGTAATCCCAAAATTTGGGAGGCTGAGGTGGGAGGATCACTTGAACCCAAGAGTTCGAGACCAGCCTGGGCAACATGGGAGACCTCCGTCTCTACAAAAACTTTAAAAGTTAGCCAGGCTTGGTGGCAAACATCTATGTTCCTAGCTATGTGGGAGGCTGAGGTGGAAGGGTCACTTGAGCCCCGGAGGTCGAGGCTACAGTGAGCCATAGTTGTGCCACTGCATTCCAGCCTGGACAACAGAGTGAGACCCTGCCTCAAAAAAAAAAGTTATATATTTACTGATATAGAAAATTGTCACATCAGTGTAGGGTGGGAAATTAAAAAACTGTTCAAGCTATACTGTTAATGAAAAAAATCACAAAAACATAATATCCCTTTAAAAAATATGCACACATATCTGAAAGAATATATATTAAAATATTAAAAGTATTCCTTGGGAGGGACCATTGTTTTTACATATTTGTAATTTCTGATTTTCTACAATAAGCATGCATTATCTGTTGTGTTTTTTTTCCAGTTGAGACAAGGTCTCACTCTGTCACTCAGGCTACAGTATAGTTGCATGAACACAGCTCACTGCAACCCCCGCCTCCAGGGCTCAAGTGATCCTCCCACCTCAGCCTCCTGAGTAGCTGGAACTACAGAAGCATACCACCATGCCCACTAATTTTTGAATTTTTTGTAGGGATGGAGTTTCGTCATATTGCCCAGGCTGGTCTCAAACTCCTGGGCTCAAGCTATCTGCCTGCCTCGGCCTCCCAAAGTGCTGGGATCACAGGTGTGAGCTACCAGGACTGGCCCTACATATACAATATTTTAAGAGGATAAAAATGTTCAGAATATATCAGCAAATGAAAACAGATGACAAAACAGTATGTATAGTATGACACCACATTTGTAAAATAAAAAAGATTATTAAATATATCATTATATGCATATTAGATGTGCTAAAGCTAAAAGGACAAATAATAATTGTTCATGGAAGAGGAAAGATTATGAGACTTATTTTTCTTTTGTTTTCTAATTTTTCTACAGTGAACATGTATTGTTTTACTTGTCTTTAATAATAAAAGTCTTTTTTAAAAATTCTTAAATAATTAAAAAACCAAACTCTAATGAGAAAAAAAGAGGGACCTCCATTTCCATGATCCTCCTCCACCCAACATCCCACTGTCTCCGCCCTCTCCACCCCGTCCCCACTCCCAGGGTCTTACATTTTAGGAAGACAGATCGCTCTGGTGAGGGGCTGGTTTTCAGCAAGGTACCTGGCTTGGTGCTGGAAGGGTCTGAGAGCTGGCAGTTCATGTCTGTAAGGAATTGTGAGAAATGAGCGCATGGAGCTCACGCGAGCAGACAAGTAAGACATGCTAAAAATACCACACAACTGGAGAGTCACAGCGGCCCGTCCAAGAGCCATGTAGATTTAAGGGGTTCGTGTAAATTCACAGGGACAGGAAAACCCCAGGATGACGAGGCTGGTGTGGGAGAGCCCTAAATAGGAGGAGGAGCTGAGGTGCGAACAACCACTGGACCCAACACTCAAGGATGGGCCACGACTCAGGGAAGATGCACAAATTCCAGGGTCAAGACGGAAAACAAGAAAGTAGAGCTGAGTCAGGAAGGTCTGAGTGCTCACAAAGAAGGAAGGAGGGGAGGCCATCCCAGCAGGGGCACCGGGGCCCTTGGCACTTGCTGTGCCCTCTGCCTGGACAGCCCCCACACCCTTCCCCTCTTGCCCAGGTTCCCTCCTTCCCAGCTGTTGGGGCTGGAGCTCACTCAGCGCCTCCCCAGACCTGCCTTCCGCCCCCAGCACTCCCAGCACTCATCACAGGGGCCTGTAGAGATCAAGCCCACCTGCACGCTGTTAAATCAAGTTTTGCTTAAAGCTGCCTCCTTACATCTTTGAAGTTCAGCCTAAAGGTTTTTCTGTGCATCGTCAACTATAACAAGTGGAGGTGTAAACAGACCGTAGCCCGCACTTGTGCCAATCACCCAGTTTTTTTTTTTTAATTCTTTTTTTTCTTACTAGAATAGTTACTCTGGATATGGAAATCACCCAGTTTTGGCCAATCAAATGTAGCCAACTGATTGAACTGTGTTCAAATAAGGCAAAAGCTGAGCTGGAACCAACCCAGCTGCTTCTGCGCCTCACCTCTGTTTTCTGTAGGCCACTTTCCTTTTTCTGGCCCTAAATCTTCTTCCACCACGTGGCTGCGCTGGAGTCTGTCAATGTACTGAGGCTGAGAAGGCTGCCCGAGTCACAAATCATTCATTGCTCATTTACTCTCCTTTACCTTTAATTTGGCTGAAGTTGTTCTTTCATCAAGGCAAAAGCCTCGCCCCTCTCCCTAGAACTCTAGAGTCACAGGTCCTACTGCCTGGGCGATACCACCACATGGGAAGTCCAACTTCTGAAATCTAACAGGTTCAAACACTTCATTCCCTCCAGTCCTAAATGCTTTCTCACTTCAGAAAATGACAGTTTCCTTCTGTTAGTTGCCCAGGTCAAAATCCTGGGATTCAGATTTCTTTCCTCTCTCCCCTGCGAGTCCACTTCCACTTCTGTTGTCCCCATTGCTGCTCCTTCTGTGACCAGCTCACTCCCATTGCAGACCTCCACCCTTGCTTTTCCCTCTGTCTAGAATACCTCCCTCAGATCTAACAGCAGCAGCAATCATAATCCCCGACGCGTACATGGCGTTTATTATGCCTGAGCACTAAGTGTGTAAGAGCTCATTCAATTCTCAAAGCAGCCCAGGAGAGCGGGCTACATTATGGTCTCCACTTTACAGATACAGAAACAGAGGCATGGAAAAGGGAGGTGCCCCGTCCATGGCAGGGTTCAGCAGGGTTCCAAGGGGGTAGACCTGGGGTAGGAACCCAGGAGTCCATGCCTATGACCACTGTGCTCCCTGGCCCTTCAGACCAGCAGAAGCTGCTGAACAAACGCTTCCTTTGGGCCACCTTGAGTGTCCCCTTCTCAGAAGCCTTCCCAACTGCTTATATAAAACAGGTCCTCGGCCAGCCATGGTGGTTCACACCTGTAATCCCAGCACTTTGGGATGCAGAGGCAGGCGGATCACAAGGTCAGGAGTTCAAGATTAGCCTGGCCAACATGGTGAAACCTCGTCTCTACTAAAAATACAAAAATTAGTCTGGCATGGTGGCAGGCACCTGTAGTCCCAGCTACTCAGGACACTGAGGCAGGAGAATTGCTTGAACCCAGGAGGCGGAGGTTGCAGTCAGCTGAGATCATGCCACTGCACTCCAGTCTGGGTGACAGACCAAGACTCCATCTCAAAAAAAAAAAGAAAAATGGTTCCTCCTCGTCACTTTCCTGTCCTCCATCTTGCCCTGCTTTATTATTCTTTATAGCAGTTCTTGTCACCTGACATGTTGTGCACTGTCTGTCCCCCCTACAAGGACTATGAGCACCAAAAGCGGAGAAGTTTTGTTTTGTGCCCTCCTATGCCTGGCACATAAGAGGGGCTTGATAAATGTTCTGAATGAATCATGATAGCAGAGGTGAATGAATGAATGAATGAGCACATAAATGAATCAATGAATAGATATTTTTGAGGACATGTTTTGTGCCATGCCCTGTGGGGAGCTCAGAGGTAGGCCCAAGGCTGGTTCCTGCCCTTCAGGTGCTTACAAGGAAGGCACAAGGAGGGGGTATCCACTTCATGAGCACTCTCCAGCAGGATGTGGGCAGGCCCTGGTATGGGAAGGGAGAGTAGAGATGGCCAGGGGAGGGAGTGAGCAGACTGGGCTGGCAGGAAAGGGCTTCCCAGGTGGGCGCAGCTGTGCCAGCCTGCCTTGAGGGGGTGCTGGGCTTGGGCCCCAGCCAGAGGAAGAGGAGGAAGAGTTGGTCATTCCAGCTGGGAGCCCAGAGCAAGGCTGAGATATGGCAGGATCCCAGGAGCAATCTGAGGGGCAGAAGCAGGCAGTGTGACTGGAGAAGGGCAGGTCTCCGTCTCAGGAAGGGTTGGAAGTGAAGTCGTGAGGGTGGGTTGGCACCAGGCCCAGGAGCCCCTGACCGCCCAACCAAGGGCTCAGTGTGGGAGAGACAGGATGCAGGGTGATGATCTTTGCATTCACCTCTGGGCTAAAGGGCACTAGGGGAGGTAAGGACACAAAGTTGGTCACTGGCGACTTACTTTCCTTAAGGCGAATGTCCAGTGGCGTCTGTAGTGTACTCTGCATGGCTTCCATGAGACCTTTATAGTAGCTCCTGATGGGCTCAAAGGAGAGGGGCACAGGGTGACACAGCTCCCCGAGGCTCATCTGCTGCTGCATCTCGTGCTCGGCGGCCGTGTATGCCTGTGTGGGCACACAGGGGTCAGGGTGGCTCTGGGAGATGCAGGCAGTGTCCCAGCCTCCTGTGCTGCACCCAGGAACAAACCCACACCAGCACGCCCAGACTCCACCTTGCCCTGGCACTTGTGGTCAGCCCAGGCTGTGCCCCCAGGAGCAGAGGGAGCCCTGGAGAGACCACACAGCAGCCCCAAGGTGGGAGCCATGTGGAGGTGTGATTTTGCCATGCTGGCACTGGGGAATCCTCCCTCTCCCTTCCTCCCTCCTTTCCTTCCTTCCTTCTGTGTTCATTGAGGCCTACTCTGTGCCAGCTATGCTGGCAGAGGGCAGGGTCAGGCTGACATAGGACCTTCCCAGTGAGGCTTCAGCCTCACACACACTGTGCCATGGGTCTGCGTCGGGTACAAAAAGAGTGAGAGGTCAGTCTCCCTGGTGAAGGGGCCCCTGGAACTTGTACAAAGGTGGAGCAGTAAACTGTTCTAAGAAGGATGTCAAAGACCCAGCAAAAGGCCAGGCATGGTGGCTCATGCTTGTAATCCCAGCACTTTGGGAGGCCAAGACGGGTGGATCACCTGAAGTCGGGAGTTCGAGACCAGCCTGACCAACTTGGTGAAACCCCGTCTCTTAAAAAAAAAAAAAAAGACCCAGCAATGTTCAGCTGCAGTGCTGACTGAGGGGGTCTGGCTACCGCCTGGAACATGTGTTCTGTTTTGCGCCTGGACAGCCCCTCTTCAATACCTTTCTGTGTTGTGTGGCTTCGCTAAGGAGAAGCTAGAAAACCCCGTCTCCCAGCCCCCTTTGCACCTTTGATGCAGGAGTGTCACCAGACACCTCCAAGCCAAAGCATGGATTTGGAAGTGAAGGTGAAGGTAGCGATGGTGGCATGTGACACTCAGGGACAGTAGTGGTGGGGGCTCTGGTCAGTATAGGTGCCGTGGGGCCTATACTGGCACCAACCCCTGCTGAAGCCTGGGTGTCCTTCCTGCTGCCCATGTGCCATCCTGACTTTCTGGCCCTCCTGGAGATCCTACCAACTACCTCATATTCTTCCATAAACTCCCTTCTTGCTTAAAACGGTTCCAGTGGATTTTCCTGTTTGCAGGTGAGAACCGCGACGGCACTTTCTGAAGGGCTGTCCTGGCCAGGAGTTGGAAGGAAGCTGACTGCCCCCAGTCATCAGGCTTGGCTGGCAGTAGCAGTACTGCCTGCCCAAGAAGGAGTGGACAGATGGGGGCCTCAGGAGGGAGGAGGGTGGCCTGGCACTCGGCTGTGGGGCAGGGGCAGGCCCTACCTGGTAGCATGCTGCACACTGGGAGGGGGCTGTGAGATGGCCTCCAAGCCCCATTCAGCCTAGGAGGCCGGGAGTCTAGAGTCCAACCTCATTTTGGTGGGGAACCAGGGCTAAGGTCACACCCAGAACACTGGAATGGGGCTGGTCAGGGAAGACTGAGCACTAGCAGGAAGTCCAGGGTGGGCAGGGAGCAGCTCCAGGGAGGTGGGGGGGGCTCAGAGGGCAGATGAGTAGGGTAGGATGAGGGGTCGATAGAGGACACATGTCACCACCTGGTAACCCCAAACTCCAGCACCTAGCACCAGGCCGGACACATGGCTTCTCAAAACATGTGTATGATGGAAAAATCAGTGCATGAAACCAAGGACAGCTGCTTTTGCCTTTGCAGACTCAGAGAACAGAAAACCCAGTCCTTCATCTCTCAGGCCAGAAACTCCAGCGTCATCTCGGGATTCCCCCTACTCATTCTCCAATTCCAATCTCCATTCCTGTGGCATCTCCTGACCTGCCTGTTTCTCCCTATCCCCACTGCCCCTATCTTGGTCCAGGCCACCATCATCTCTCTCCTGGACATTGTGGCCTCCTCCCAAGTTCCCTTCCAGCCTCCCATCCTGGTCTCCCCGTCCATCTTCCACTCTGTCTCTAAAGTGACTTTTCTAAAGCACTAACCTGACCATGTGACTGCTTTTATCCCTCAGTTCAGACCACTCCAAGGCTGGGCATGGTGGTTCACGCCTGTAATCCCAGCACTTTGGGAGGCCAAGGCGGATGGATCACTTGAGGTCAAGAGTTTGAGACCAGCCTGACCAACAGGGTGAAACCCAGCCTCTAGTAAAAATACAAAAATTAGCTGGGCATGGTGGCACGTGCCTGTAGTCCCAGCTCTTCAAGGGGCTGAGGCAGGAGAATCCCTTGAATCTGGAAGGTGAAGTTGCAGTGAGCCGAGATTGAGCCACTGCATTCCAGCCTGGGCAGCAGAGACCCTGTCTCAAAAACAAACAAACAGACAAACAAACAAAAACGCATTCTTGTCTCCTATTGTATTACAGGAAAATGCTAAAATCCATGAAACATAAGGCCCTTCATGAACTAACCATGACCTATGGATCCAGCTGTGTCTCTCAATACCCCCACCCTTATACTCCCTACCCCTCCTCAAGCCAGGTTGAACCCCAAGTGGTTCCCCAACCTGCCAAGCTCTCACATGTACACAGTTCCTGTCTGTCCTCTCTGCTCTCCCTATATATACAGTGTGCTCCTACTCATTTTCCAACACCCAGCCCTACCATCACCTCTTCCTAGAAGTCTTCCCAGACTGCATCCTTCTCCCAGCCAGAGAGTGTCAGACATTTCTTGGACATAATTTTGCTAGCTTCATATTTACAAAATTGCTTAAGCTGTACCGTAAATAACTGTTTCTGAGCAAGTCTCCCCACCAACTGTGAGCTCCTAATGTCCAGCAAGTGACCTGGCTCAGTACGTATTGATGAATAAACGAATGAACACATAGAAGGTGGGAATGTTGAATGATTAAAATCAATGGCTTTGGCACAAGAGATTTTTTTTCTTTTTTTGAGACAGAGTCTCGCTCTGTCGTCAGGCTGGAATGCAGTGGTGCTATCTTGGCTCACTGCAACCTCTGCCTCTGGGGCTCAAGCAATTCTCCTGCCTCAGCCTCCGGAGCAGCTGGGACTACAAGCATGCACCACCATGCCCAGCTAATTTTTGTATCTTTAGTAGAGATGGGGTTTTACCATGTTGGCCAAAGGATGGTCTCAATCTCTTGACCTCGTGATCCGCCCACCTCAGCATCCCAAAGTGCTGGGATTACAGGCATAAGCCACCACGCTTGGCTGGCACAAGAGAATTTAAGAGATGGCAAAGCCCTGAAACCATTTTATGAAGGAGAATAGCATGCTTCTCCATGGACGCATTCCTTTGTATTCCATAGCCTTAAAAAGGACCATTATTTAAAAAGAAACAATTCAATGTATCACTGTGCATCTTGCCCTTCTTAAAGCACAATACCCATTCCTAGGAAAGCAGCTCACCCAGAATTTGGCTGAAACAGCTGATGATGAGACACAGACTGAACTGACTGAGGCCACATAAGACACAAGAGTGGAAATCCCCACCTGGGGACTGGCTTGGCTGGTTTTGTGTTGACTGGCTTTTTTGTCTGTCTGATTTTCCAGCCAGAGCCCATACTCATCTGTGGTTAGAGTTGGTGCCACTTTTAGTTGTACCCTGCCTTGTCCCACAGCCTTTAAAGTATCTTGCAAAGGTCCTCTAATACGGCAAGATTTTTCTTCATAGCGAGAAAAATGAAGCAAAGAGAAAATCAGACACAAAGTGTTTGCCGTGAAGCCTTAGCCTGGTTAGTCAAAGCAGATTTGGCTCTGAGCATCCCAAGGCAAAGAAGGAAACAGGAGGGGCTCTAACAGTGATAAAGCAATTCTAGTGCAGAAGTGACTGCACAGGGGTGTTGACACTAGACAAGAGTTTCTTCCACGGTTCCCTACAGACAGGAACACCATCCTTGACAACATGCTTTCCCCAAATGTAGCAATGAGCATCGCAGGGGCTATTTCTTTCTTTCTTTCTCTTTTTTTTTTTTTTTTTTTTTTTTGAGAGAGAGTCTTGTTCTGTCACCCAGGTTGGAGTACAGCAGTGCAATCTTGGCTCACTGCAAACCTTTGCCTCCCAGATTCAAGTGATTCTCCCGCCTCAGCCTCACAGGTATGTGCCACCACACCTGGCTAATTTTTGCATTTTTAGTAGAGAGGGGGTTTCGCCATGCTGACCAGGCTGGTCTCGAACTTCTGGCCTCAAGTGATCTGCCACAGGGGCTGTTTCTTAGACTCTCCCTCAACAAAGCCCAGTGGCCAAGGAGTACCATTGAGCAAACTGTGACTCAGCTTTTGAAATGTGCTCAGCAGCTGCAAGGCCACCTGCCTTTCCAGGAGAGGTGTCTCAACTTAAGACTATACAGGCAGAGGGCCAGGCAAGGTGTCTTGTGGGTTTAGTCAGACCTACAGACAGACAGACCTGATCCCAGCTCTGCCACCTACCAGCTATGTGAGACCAGGTGAGTCACTTCACTTTACTGAGCCTCAATTTCTTGTTTATAAAATGGGGTGAGGCCACTCTGCAGAGTTCTGGTGAATATTCGTGCTAAGCTACACAGTGCTCAGAACACAAAGGCCTTTGAAATTGGTGGCTGTTAATATTATTTAATTAGCCCAAGATGTGTATTATCTTCCTAAAATGTATATTCTCTTGAACACGTGTGTGGGGGCAAGACAGTCTGCATGGTGACCAGGCAATATTCTGTGTGTCAATACTGTGCTCAATGCCATAACACCTGAGATGAAGTGTGGGTGGCAGGTGGCAGCTGTAAGGGCAGTGACCCCAGCATTACCTGAAGCCTCTGGACAGGATCAGGCTCCTGGCTGATACTCCAGACCCTGGTGGAGAGATCGTTCGTGACGTCAAGTTGCTCTTTGCAAGAGTCAACTTGTTCCCTGTACCCCTGGAGGGCCAGCTGTGTGTTTTTATCAATGAATTTCTTGGCCGCTGTTTCCTCTTCATCAAGTAGTAATCTGAGTTCAGTGAATATCCCCTTCAGCCAGGTTTTACTTGACTCTGCATGAGCCTAAAAACAGAAAAACCAGTTGCAGATGATACGTTTATCAATCGGGAAACCCAGAATAATCAACATGAAAATAATTAGAATGTCTGAAACATAAGTTCAGCAAAGTGGCCAGTCAGATACAAGATCAACTTATAAAAAACAAAGCTTTCCTAAGTACCAGCCATCACCAATCATAAAATGCATGGAGAAGTAAAGATCCTTTTGAAAATGGGAGAAAAAAATCACAAAGTATGTGGAAATAAACCTATTAAAAAGCCATATTAGTGACTGGGAAGGTTCATTACTCTAAAGTCACTATTTGTCTCTAAATTAGACAATCAAATTGGAATTTGATAAAACTCCAATCAAAATCTTAACATGCAGATTAAAAATTATAAAATTATTAGGAGAGAGAACAGGCAAAAGAAAAGCCAAAATTGGGCCGGGCGCGGTGGTTCAAGCCTGTAATCCCAGCACTTTGGGAGGCCAAGGCAGGTGGATCATGAGGTCAAGAGATCGAGACCATCCTGGTCAACATGGTGAAACCCCGTCTCTACTAAAAATACAAAAAATTAGCTGGGCATGGTGGCGCATGCCTGTAGTCCCAGCTACTCAGGAGGCTGAGGCAGGAGAATTGCTTGAACCCAGGAGGCAGAGGTTGCGGTGAGCCGAGATCGCGCCATTGCACTCCGGCCTGGGTAACAAGAGCGAAACTCCGTCTCCAAAAAAAAAAAAATTCTCCTGGCTCACCATAATTGCTATAAAAAAAAACAAAGAAGAGAAACCTGATAACACATTACCTGCCTTATCTGATAACAAAACAAATGATAAATCTACAGGATCTAAAACCATGTGGCTCAAACACAGACAAAAAGGTCAAAAGCACAAAATAAAGAGTTTTTAAAAGAACTCAAATTATGGCCAGGCATGGTGGCTCATGCCTGTAATCCCAGCACTGCGGGAGGCTAAGCAGGTGGACAGCCTGAAGTCAGGAATTTGAGACCAGCCTGGCCAACACGGTGAAACACCATCTCTGCCAAAAACACAAAAATTAGCTGGGTGTGGTGGCAGATGCCTATAATCCCAGCTACTGGAAAGGCTGAGGCAGGAGAATCCTGTGAACCCGGAGGTGGAGGTTGCAGTGACCTGAGATGGCGCCATTGTACTCCAGCCCAGCCTGGGCAACAAGAGCAAACCTCTGTCTCAAAAAAAGAACAACAACAACAAAAGAACTCAAATTATATACAGAGAGATGTGTGTATGTATGTGTATCTGTGATGTAACAGTGGCATTTTAGAATAATTTTTTGTATTTTTGTAGTAAAAATATGAAAATAAAAATAATTAAAATAATTTGAGATTTTCCACAATAAAAGGTTAAGGAAAACAAACAAAAGAGAAAGTCCAGTTAAACTAAAGCACTGTATATAAAGTCCAAAGAATAAATCAATTAGGTGAAATACAGAACAATTTTTATTTATTTATTTTTTGATATAGAGTTTCACTCTTGTCCAGGCTGGAATGCAGTGATCTCGGCTCACTGCAACCCCTGCCTCCCAGGTCCAAGTGATTCTCCTGCCTCAGCCTTCCAAGTAGTTGGGATTACAGGTACGCGCCACCACGCATGGCTAATTTTGTATTTTTAGTAGAGACGGGGTTTCATCATGTTGGTCAGGCTAGTCTCAAACTCCTGACCTCAGGTGATCTGCCCACCTCAGCCTCTCAAAGTGCTAGGATTACAAGTGTGAGCCACCAGGCCCAGCCCAGAAAATAGTTTTTGATCATTAGATTGGAAGATTTTTAAGAGATTGAGATGCAGTCTGTAAGGGTATATGAAGTAGGGCATTTATATAAACTGTGGGTGGTAGGGTCTATCGGTACTTCACTTTTAGAGGGCAATATGACAATAGCTATCAATTTTTTTTTTTTGATAAGTTTTGCTCTTGTTGCCCAGGCTGGAGTGCAATGGCAAGATCTCAGCTTACTGCAACCTCCGCCTCCTGGGTACAAGTGATTCTCCTACCTCAACCTTTGGAGTAGCTGGGACTGCAAGTGGCTATCACCACACCTGGCTAATTTTGTATTTTTAGCAGAAACAGAGATTCACTGTTGGCCAGGCTGATCTTGAACTCCTGACCTCAGGTGATCTGCCTGCCTCAGCCTGCCAAAGTGCTGGAATTACAGGCGTGAGCCACTGCGCCTGACCTCAAAGTTTTAAATGCACATATTCTTTCATGCAGCAGTTCCTCTTACTTAGATCCTGGAACATGCTTTCACATGTCCATGAAGATTTGTGTACCAAGATTCTCATTACATAGCTTTTACACATAGGGACTAGAGAATAGAATTAGCTGGGGATGGTGGTCGGTGTCTGTAATCCCAGCTACTTGGGAGGCTAAGGCTTGAGAATCACTTGAGCCCAGGAGACGAAAGTTGCAGTGAGCTGAGATCAGGCCACTGCACTCCAGCATGGGCGACAGAGTGAGACTCCGACTTAAAAAAAAAAAAAAAAAAAGAATAGAGAATAGTTGTGGAACCTTAAGGATCTAAAAGAAAACTGAAAAATGGGCTTCACTGGCAGAAACAGAAACAAGGATAGTGGGGAGCGAGTGTTCTGAGAAACAAGGTCAACCACAAACAGCTCGTTAGCACTCATGCATCCTGTTACAGGCGCTCAGCCCACAGTCCACCTGCACCCAGGCATCCTGTCTGCAAGCATTCAGTTCAAGCAGCAAACCTTCGCAAACTCCCTCTCCAGTCCCCTGCCTTCTTTCTGCCGCCTCGCCCGCAGCTCTCTTGCAATGTTTCTCTCCCTTTTCTCTAAATAAATCTGCTTTTCTAAACTCAATACTGTCTTGGTAAATTATTTTATCCACCCTGTGCACCAGCCTCAGACAGTTGTTAACCATGAAATATTTGGTACAATTTTCAATATGGGATGTGTATATAAGTTAATTATGTAAATTGTGCTACATTTGTACAATGAAATAATGTATAGCGATTACCAAGAATGCATTGTGCTGATGCGTGCTACAACATGGATGAACATTGAAGACATCACCCCTAGTGAAATAAGCAAGACACAAAAGGACAAATGATTTATCATTCCGCTTACATGAAATATCTAGACCAGGCAAATTCATAGAGACAGAAAGTAGAGTCGAGGCTACCAAGGGCTGGGAGAGGGGACATGGGGTGTAATTGCTTGATGGTTTCAGAGTTTCTGGTTGGGATAATGAAAAAGTTTTGGAAATAGACACGGGGGATGGCTGTGCAACATTGTGAATATAATTCAAAGCACTGAATTGAATATTTAAAAATGGTTAGAATGGCAAATTTTATGTTATATATATTTTATCACCATATAAAAACAAAGAAGAAAATATAACAACAAAAACAATGCAGTAGGTCGGGCGTGGTGACTCACGTCTGTAATCCCAGCATTCTGGGAGGCCGAGGCAGGCAGATCACTTGAGGTCAGGAGTTTGAGACCACCTGACCAACGTGGCAAAACCCCATCTCTACTAAAAAATGCAAAAATTAGCCAGGCGTGGTAGTGCATGCCTATAATCCCAGCTAGTAGGGAGGCTGAGGCAGGAGAATTGTTTGACCCCAGGCAGCGGAGGTTGCAGTGAGTCGAGATCACACTACTGCACTCCAGACTGAGCGATAGAACAAGACTCTGCCTCAAAAAAACAAACCAAAAAATGCAGTAGACCTATGTGTCCTAGCATGGAAAGTTCTCCAAAAAACAGGTGAAAAAGAACAAGCTGCAGAGTAATACATGCAAGATGATCCAAATTTATGTAAAACATAGTAAAACAAAACCCGTATATGGAGGGATATGTGCATCTATATATTTGCAAGTGCAATTAAAATGTCTGTTAGTAGTGGTCATGTTTGGTAAGAGGCATGGACTGGCAGATGGAGAAAGAAGGGCTCTCACTTTGTACTTTATATAGATCCATGCTATACTATTGCTTAAATTTTTAAAAATGACCATTTGTTCATGTATTATTTGTACACTGAAAAAAAAGACACAGGTCAGCCCCCTTCCTCAGCCCAAACATCTGTACAATCCACATAGCAGAATGACCCCAGCACCCAGCCAGTCATGAGGGGTGGGCAGGCTCCTGTGATACCATGTCATCTTCTTAGGGGGACAGCATGTGGCTTGGCAGCGAACAGGAGATGAGTTCTCTAAATCTGTGTTTCCTATCCAATGCTCCAGGCTGTGGATAGGTTCAGAGGCTAGCTCATACCACTGGCCTATGGATTATACTGGCTTTAAGCTAGCCTTGGAATTAGTCCACATTTATATGGTTGCAATGGGTCACTGAGCCTGGACACAAATGTGTTTTACTGAATGTCCAAATAAAGAAAATGTATTTCAAACTCTTGATTTATGAACGCATGTTGAGGCAACATAAGTACACAGAGGACCTTTATAGAGAAACCAAGAGAGCAAATATCTTCTCCCAACCAAGTATAGTAATCAGCCTATTAACAAGAATATAAGTGCTTTTTATAGATCCACTTTGTTAAGCAGAAAATCCAAAAGAAGCTTCATGACACTATACCTCGTTCTAACTCTCAGCACAAGGATAACCAGTATGGAAAACAGCCACCAGAAAACTTCATGTGTAAGCAGATGAGGCTGCTTATGCAATAAGGTCAGAAAGGGGTAGAGAGAGAGAGGGGAGGGAGGGCAGAGGGAAAGAGGGCGAGAGAATATCCTGGCCATGAAACAAGGAAGTACGCTATCTGGTTTGGGTCCCCTTGGTTCAAAGTGAAACTGGATCCCAGCTGAACTGAGCTGGAGTTTGAAGAGAGCTGGTGGCTGGGTGAGGGCCTGATGGAGTCTAGCTGTGCAGAGTCTAGGACTGTGGAAGAGAAAGAAGCTGACCTGACAGGAAGCCCTGGTTAGGGGGGGCTGAGGGATTTTGCATACAGAGTGTAGGCTGCTATGTGAAGCCACCTCTGAGTCCCGTGGAGAGTGAGGAGCCCAAAGGAGGGCGCTGC